AGTTTTTAGTCTCTCTATTCCTCTCTACAGCCCTGTCCTGGCCTTTCCAGTAGTTAAAAAATCAAAAATGTTCAGGGCCTGCTCTTGGGTGAGTATCTGTGCACATGCGTGGCAGAAGAACCCACCAGTGGTGAGGGTGCAGGGTGTCCACTCACTCAGGTTCCCCCTTAAATCACCAGAATGGATGTGCACAAACAGTGGTGGTGGGGGGTGGGCAATGACCAGATGCCAAAAAGAAAATCAGAACAAAGCAAAACTGACAAAGTGTATTGTCCACCTTTGCTCCAAGCTTCCCATGGTGTTTTCCCATGGTGTTTCTGCTCCCCCAACTTGGTCTTGACATTTGGTCTTGTACAAGATGTCGGCTCCAGGCCTCTAAGCTCCAGAAAATTCAAAAGTATGCAATTTCTTACTTCAGCTTCAAGTACCACAAGCTATAAGCCTTCAAACTTTTAAAATATTCCTCTCTGTGGTTCTGAGTTTTGGAGCTCTGCCCTGGATCTGCTTTGCCTGGCATTCTGTAGTATGGCTGACTGCGAACTTCACTGAATCTCCACCCAAGCCGCCATCAAGCCCTGCCCTGCAACAATACTTTTTAACTTGCCCTCATTTAGGTTGCTTCTGAAGATGCTCAGAATGGAACAGGGTTTGTCCCGTAACTGATGACATGTGCTCTTCATAGATCACACTCTCAGACAATTGCAAAAATACAGCTACAGCCAATATCACCTCAAGTAGAAATGAAAATGTGAAAAGTCATCATATTAGGGGTAACTTCAATGGCAAAGAGTGACAGAGAATTTGACCTTAATTATTTTCTTTATATTAGTTTTTCAAGCAGACTTTCTACTTTTAATGTTGTTGTAGTAAAGTGTCATCAAGCCAGTTCTGACTCATAGACGTCTGTATGGGGTTTCTGTGGAGTGGCTGGTAGATTTGAATCACTGACCTTACAATTAGCTCCTGTGCTTTTTCTATAATGCCATGCCAGGACGCCTCGACTGTTAATTATTGTTGTTGTTAAGTAATAGGAGTCTACAAATAAAACATGATTTGCATAGTTAAGACTAGAACTAGGCAGTGAATCTTCCCACTGTAAAAACGATATGATTTCCAACACACTATCAGTTTAAACTGAAATTGGTAGGGTAGGAGTTGGGAAGAAGGAATGACTATGACAATTTATTGTACTCCAAACAATTTCTCATGTTAGGGTGTTTTATCTAAGTATTTTGCTGGAATTTAATGCTAATGCTTTTTGTTTGATATAATAATCTCTCTCACAATATGGGACACTGAACTTCAAGCAAAAATCCTCAGAAAATAAGGAAATGTTTTCGTGCAGGTCCAAGCCAATCCCATTTTACTTGGAGATACAGTTTTCTCAGTTCACTGCATTATAATTCCTAGTGAGGACTTTTCCAGATTTTCAGTTCTTCTCTCTACTATCAGTTTCTCTTCCACTGCTATATCCTGTTTACTCCTCAGAACCAGAGCATTCTCTTCCAAGTCTGAAAATCCCCAACTCCACATTTACAAAGTGGGACGTAAAGGCCCTTTGTGCTTTTAGTTTTAGTAGGTGCTGTATCCAAAAGAGCTAGGTTGTAATTTTGTACAATGTCAGTTGGTGCATCTAATTTGTGACTTCTGTTTATATAGAAGTGAATTAATTGCCTGCTTTATTAATTCTGCAAAATCCATGAATCCTTAATGTTCAGTTTGCTTAGAATGAGTAACAATATATTTGCTTAGCTCTGGATGCATTCCTTTTAGATAGCATCCTTATATCTTGGATGATTTATTCACCTTCATGTTCCACAGAATTTATTGCTAAAGGTTGACATGAATACTTACAGTTTGGGCTATAATATAATCTCCTGAATGGCAATTAATAAATAAAAGATGGTTTCTGTTGTTGACAGATGAGCTAGGTTTTGTTAAATAGTTTTCATCTTCATGTTTTCACCAAAATTCTTGTCAGGCATCCCTAGGGGTTGATGGCATAAAATATTTTCAGTAAGCTCCAAAGCTTTTACTGTTTCTTCAGTATACCAAATCTATGTGCTGCCTTAGTTTCCTTGTCAGACATGATCTTGTTCAATTTTAGTTTCTTCAGTTTGGTTTCCTTCCTGGGAATATAGGAAATATGACTCTTTATGGATTGAATAGTAACATATCATCAGTATATTTGTCTTGCAATAGCATCTGAAATCTGTTCCTTAAATTTCTGTACTTTGAAGGGGATGGTGGTGGAAATGGAGTCAGTCAATCTCATCTCTGTTGCAATTATTAAAGATACACAAAATGCAATGTCTATTGTCTTTAAATGTGTTGTTCCAACTGCAAACTTACCTTCTGTAAGTTAATTACAAATATACAATGCAACGCTCAGTTTGTACCATTTGCCCACTTGACTAGGTTCCAGGACTAATAGAGACTAATGCTCTTATTTTAGAGAGCAGAAAACTGTAGGCCAGTTGAAGTGGCTTGCTCATAATCAAGCAGCTAGTTAAGTGGCAGAAACAGCTCTGAAGCCTTATCTCTAGATTTCCTGTTTGGTGCATAGAGAGCAGAGACTGAGTACATCTTTAGGCAATAAGTAATACAGCACAGAGCAAGATATCTGGAGTGAGAATGGCTGAATTCAGTTTTCAATGTTGATGCTTACAAAGTATGTAACTTTGGACTAGTTGTTTAACTGATCTGGGTTTCCACTTCCGTAGCAGTCCATTGGGGTTATAGTAGTACCAGTAGCACAACTGTTAGCATTAGAGTAGATGAATGCATGTAAAACACTTAACAACAGTGTTTGGCACAGATGGGAGCACTATATTCACCATAAGCAATTAGCATCACTGTCATGTTAGCTATTGCTAGAACACAAAGAGTGTGCGCATTGTTACTTAACTGTGTGTATATATATGCATTAGACAGCTATTGTGCTTTTTTTTTTTTTTAACATTCCTTATATCACTTAATACAGTGCTAAGCAACTGGTAATAGTGTTCATGTTGGCAGTGTTAGCAGCACCAAAAATAGTGATGACAGTAATAAAAGCTAGTGTCATTTATGAGCATGAGTATGTGGTAAGCATTGAAGTAGGCATGAGTACATGATCCTACCCAGAAATTTATTTCCAGAAACTCAAGTGTCGTCTCTTTATGACAATAATCCCCCTTGTAACTGAAGAGGAAGATGAGCTTTGGTCCTAGTGGAAAAACTCTGATGATGGAAATAAGAGCTTTGATAAAATTCCTTCTATTTTTCAAATAATCCTATGCTCCTAATATTTATATAGCCTACCTATACAGGGTCGCTGTGAGTCAGAACCTACTTGACCACACTTAACAACAACAATCTTGTTACAGAAACAACATAGGGGTGAAGGGAAGGGAAGAAATGGAGGTCAAGACAAGAGGTGAGGGTAGGGAGAAACAAGGAAACACCAATAGTACAAATGGAAAATGTTGCTTAAAAGAACATAAATGACTAAAATGTATTTATGCTTCATTTTTTTCTTCTTTTTGTAATTTTATATCATATAAAAACTTCCCAATTTATAGACGCCCAAATAGAAATAGTCTTGGAGCACTAAGCCTTGACGCACCAAAGTTATATTCTCTTTTGCTATTGTGGCGCTGCAGGTTAATGCTCTGGACTGCAAGTTTGTTTGAACCGCAAGGTCGGCAGTTCAAGCTCACTAGTCACTCCTCGGAAATACTATACAGGGTTGCTATAGGTCAAGACTGTCTCAATAGCACTTGGCATAAGCAAATTAATTGCCTTCACCATAGCATCAAAAACCTCTAGGGTAAGGTGAAATATTTAATCACAAAAATTATATAGTCACCATGATACTTTTAGGTTTGCATATACAGTTGGTTCTTTCATAATGAATAAAACAGTGATGGCTCTAATATAATTAGTAGTGTCTTGGGTAGATAATACTTGAGAGACACACCCATTAGATGCGGGGCTCTATGTTTATGATGTTGTTGTTAAGTGTCAGTTCTGACACGAGAGACTCTGTAGAGGATTCCCAAGGTGCAGCTGGTGGGTGGGAACCGCCAACTGGTCAGTTAGCAGTCCAGTGTTTGTCCTACAGTGCCCTAGCAGGACATCATATGTATGGCAGTGTGTTTATAATACACATTTATATAAACGCATACTCTCAACATATAATCTCAATAGATAGCTATAATCTTTCAAATTCATATACGATGTCTTTTCTTCTATTTTTTTCCACAAACTTTTTGAAGCCCCCTCATGTGTGCATATGTATGCACATGCATATAAAATTCTGTACCATAGTTTATACAGATAACACATGTATTATGTGGTTTTTACAAACCAAACAAACCCATCACACTGTTCATTTCTTGGTATGCTATGTGTGTGTTTTTACTTGGGCCATTATATGAGTAAAATAAAGTATGTTATCATTTTAAATCTTTACCACAACTATATGAAAAAGGAAACAAAGGCTCAGGGAAGCCAAACCACTTGCTCAAGGTCACAAAAAGTAGGAAAGCTGTGTTTGATCCCAAGTTCTACCTACTTTGTTGTTACTGTTATTGTTAAGGGCATTCATGTCAGTTCTGCCTCATAGCAACACAGTATAGGGGTTCCTAGGAACGACTAGTAGGTTTGAGCTGCCACCCTTGCAGTTAATAGTCTAGTGCCTGTTCTGCATCTCAACACCAGGACTACAACTACTTTGTTGTTGTTGTTTTTAAGTGCCATTGAGTTGATTTTGACCAATAACCACCCTGTATAGGATTTCCAAGGAGCAGCTGGTGAGCTTGAACCACCAATGTTGCACTTCAAACGACTTTGCAGTCTGACACATTAGCCCACAGAGCCACACCAGAACTCCACAGCTACTTAGACTCCCCCTTTTTAAGATACCTTAAAAAGCTACACTCTTGGACAGTAAGTCTTTTCACTATACCACACCTTGCCACTCACAGATGGAAAGCATTTTACTCTTTCTTTTCTAGAATCCCCAGGCAAAGAATTTGGCCCAACTCTTGGCTTGAAAAAATCCAGTTCCTTGGAGAGCTTGCAGACAGCCGTTGCTGAGGTCAGAAAGAATGAGCTTCCCTTCCACAGGCCTCGTCCACACATGGTCCGAGGCCGTGGCTGTAACGAGAGCTTCCGAGCCGCCATTGACAAATCCTATGATGGGCCCGAAGAATTTGAAGCTGGTAAGGAATGTGCTTCCTTAAATGGTTTCTTCATCTTGTTATTATCCACAAATCACCAGCAAGAAAGTGTGCTTAACTACAGAGAAAAATGATATAAGGATCACAATTATATTTTTGATATTAAATGTAATTCATTTTCCTGATATGTTTCGCCCTTTGGCTTAACGAACATGGAATTGGATAGCACAAGATGCAATTTATTTTACAGTGCAAACGCTAAAGAAATGTTCTCCGTCACTTTCCTACAAGGACCAACTGTCATTTGCCCTTAGGGAAGGAGCACTAAGTATGCATTTCTTGACATTCTTATTCAAGTCATTAGAAGCAGCAGAGAGGACTGTCTGCATTAATTGGGTAGAGGCAGTTCGGTTATATTTGTACTCAAAAAGCTTTCTTGGAAAAAATATCATTCTGTTTGTTGCTTATCATGTGGGCATTTGGAGCTGATCAAGGTTAACAGGCAGGCTTTCCAAGAGATTTGTGTTTTAACACATATCAACCCTCTCTGCACCAGCCAAGCAACCACCATTGTCCTCCACTTAAGACATCAAACCATGCTGGCAGTAACTAGCCTTCAGGTTGTCTCCCCTTCAAAGGGTGTAAGTAGCCCCGTGGAAGGACCGAGTTCCAGAATGCTTTCATTCATTCTTCTGTGTTTTACATTTTAACTTTCTGTCTACACTAACTGAAGTACCTCTGACCATGTGTATTGATTTTTCTTTCCCTATATAGATGGTCTATCTGATAAGAGCTCTCACTCTGGCCAAGGAGCTCTGAACTGTGATTCTGCTGCCCAGGGAAACTCAGAACTAGAGGACCTGGAAAATAAAGCCAGAAAAATTAAAAAAACAAAAGAGAAGGAAAAGAAAAAGGAAAAGGGCAAGATGAAAGTCAAGGAGAAAAAACGAAAAGAGGAAAACGAAGATCCTGAAAGGAAAATAAAGAAGAAGGGATTTGGTGCCATGCTGAGGTATGGGCCTGCTTGGAAGGCAGTTGGTTTTGTGTCTTTTGTTTCTCTTTGTTGGTGTTGTTCAATGTTGATCATGCCGATTCTGATTCTGACTCACAGTGACCCTGTATAGGGTTTCCAAGGAGCAGCTGGTGTGTTTGAACCGCTGACTTTGTGGTTCACAGTCCAGTGCTGGTCCTACAGTGTCACACCAGTAGTCCTGGTGAAATCACTCATTTGTGTATTTTTAGGAAGTTATGCAAGCTAAAGGCACTAGACTTTGAATGTGCGTGTTTCTTGTCTATAGATACCACTGCCCGTGGTATCAAAGCATTAGGTGGGTAAATGAAAGCTTCTGCACATCAGGTACTGGAAAAGCAAGAGGCAAGAGTCCCCAGTAGTAAACTCGGAAACACTTTTTTGTATTAGAGACGTCTGGATAGCTGCACCCGATGCTTTCATGATCTTAGGGACGGTGCATTGGTCAGTCCTTTGGACACTTGAGTCATCAGCTTCAGAAGCACAGTGATGCAGTGGAGATGTTCTTTGGCATGCAGCCAGAAGTGCTGATTAGAATCCATGAGTGGCCCACGCAAGCTATGGAGTTTCATGAACATACTTTATTTTCCTTGATTACAAAATGGTGTTACCAGACCTGCTTTACTAACTCAGTGGGGTTGTTAGACTGAGAAACAAGCTTTCACATGAGCTGATTCATTGACTTGGCATGGCTTGGCAGAGAAAGGGCAGAAAACAGTTGTATTTCTTATTCTACAGCTAGTTTCAAATATGTTCTATTGGTGCTCTGTTTTCCCCACACCTTGATGAGCTCTCAGCTTTCAGGTCACTTTTGTGTATTAAAACAACCTGTTTGTTTGGGGCTCAAAACTCCAATCCAATTTTAATCCAAATGTCCCTTTTCCCTCTCTCTCATGCTTCAGTTCCAGTGAGGGCCCTGCACTGTGGTCAGAGACAAGATTCCATTTTCTGCAACTTTTTCAGTCACCGGAAGGAAGCAAGGATGGGAGAAGAGCATTATTAAAATAGAATAGCTTTACTTGGCTGTTGTATCTAATGTAATCTGGCTGCCATGCTCCTTTGTGGACCACTTTAAGAGATCCCTCAGAGAGTTTCTTCTAAACTAGCCCTAATGTAGGGATGTAGGCGATTCATTCCCCACTGACTACCTAAGACCCTCTTACCTTTATCCTCGGACCTCAGAAAGTACATCCCTTGAGTCTCCTTACCATGACTGGTAGAGACTTCTTGGATGGTTTCAGTTCAAGAGAGATCTAGTCGTGAATGCCTTCCTTCCTTCCTTGGGTCATGAGAAACAGTGGTCTCTGGTACCCTTAAAGAACAGCTGTGCAGCCTGCTCCCACTGCTCCTCTTTATCTCCTCATCCTGCCATAGTGGTGCATCACCAGTCTTCTCCAGGGCAAACTTAAGCATCAAACTTTATGGCTCCTCAACACATGCCAAAGTCTTCCACGCATGGGAAGAGGGGAATATCAGTAAATGTCTGCAGGTCATCAAGCAAACAGGTACGAAGTGGGATCACAGTCCTTTTCATAAAATTACAACATAATCCTGTAACCTCTCAGGGTTTCTCATATATTCTTACTCTTCTTGTTGGAGGTGGGAAGGGGAAGCCCCGCTTTTCCTTATTTTTTCACTCCTATGACTTCCCATCAAAGAGAATGGGTCTCTTCAATTAATTTCTACATTTCTCTTATGTATTGTTGTTGTTAAGTGCCATTGAGTCAATTCCAACTTATAGCGACCCTGTACAGGGTTTCCAAGGAGCAACTGGTGGGTTTGAACTGCCGACTTTGTAGTTCGTAGTCCATTGCTTATCCTACAGCACCACACCAGGAGTCTTTGATGTAGGCTTAAGATAAGTGATGGAAGGTAGTAGTTGATGGGCTAGTTAGTCACCTCTTATTTCGTCTTTAGGAGATGTCTCTTTTAAGAATATTGGGTGATACTTGTCATGAGTTGGTTTGGGTTTGGGATATTAAGCGGAAATTTCTATGTTATATATTTGTGAAAGGACCTTGTAAGCATCAAAGTGACATCTGGGGACCATGGATAATATTGACACCAGTGAGCTTTCCTATTATGTTTTTAGTGCTCATGCCAGTCTATGCCAGCACCCCACATTCAAACTCTTGTCTCTGGACATGCTGCAGCAAGACATCTCATGATTCTGTCATCATCTGACCAGAGGACATCCCATACTTCCTGGTATCCTGGTATCCATCTGACCTAATGTCTAGTAAATGCCAATGAGACAAATCTCTCAAAAGGCATTAGTTTGGTTTTTCTCTATGTACTCTGCCTTTTCACTTGCTCTTTTGAATTTTAAACTCATCCTTGTTTCATGTAATTATTATGGTGGCCAGAATTTTTTAGACCATAACTCAAGCATTTCGATAGTAATGACCTTGTGTGGCACTGTAGGTTAATGCACTGGACCACAAGGTCTGTTTGAACTGAAAGGTCAGCAGTTCAAACTTACCAGCAGCTCCTCAGAAACCCTCTACAGGGTCACTATGGGTCGGAACCAACTAAAAGGCACTGAACAACAACATAATATATTTAAATGGGGATCTTGGTTTTAAAGTTAGGTGGTTCATAGGTTAAAAGTGCAGGCTCTGAGTGTGGACTTTTGCTTTCATATCCTGGCTCCTGGACTTTGTATCTAGGGAATATTGGGCACATTATTTAATCTTTTTGTGCTTCAGTTTCTCCACCTGAAACACAGAATATTAATAGAATCTGTAACTAATAAGAGAGTCATATTGTTTGATGTGCTTATAATAGTGTCTAGCAAAATATTCGTTAAATGTTAGTTATTTAGTGAGCATAAAAATGCACCCCCCCCCAAAAAAAAATAGATATTCACATCTTAATCTCTAGTACCTGTGAATATTATTATGCTACATGGGAAAAGAGAATAAGGTTTGTGGATACCTAGCATAGTTTGAGTTCTTAAATTAGAAGACAAAGATTCTAATTTTTGTAACTATGGAAGAACAGCACAGAGAGATGCAGCATTGTTCTCTTTGAAAAGAGAAAAAGGAGCCATGAGCCAAGGAGTACAGACAGCCTAAAGAAGCTGGAAAGGACAAGGAAACAAATTCTCCTTTAGAGTTTCCAAAAGGGAATGCAGTCCCGCTGACCCCTTGATTAAAGGCTATTTGTATTGTGTCAGAGGATGCCTAGTTATGCAGTGGTTAAGCACCTGGCTGTTAACCAAAAGGTCAGCAGTTCAAACCCACCAGCTTCACCATGGATGACAGAGCAGTCTGCTTCTATAAAGATTCACAGCCTTGCAAACTACTAAGGAAAGTAGAGGCAGTTCTACTCAGCCCTCAAGTGTTGCTGTAAGTCAGAATTGACTTCATAACAATGGGTAACGGGTGTTGTTTCAGCTGCTAAGTTTGTGGCAATTTCCTACTACAGCAGTAAGAAATGAATTGAGTATCCAAGTTATGATTCCTTCTTTTACAATATCATGGAACATGCTCATCATTTCTCAAGCTGAAAGAATTGAAGAAAAAAATTCAAGCAAGCCTCAACTTGCAATATTGAATGATTCTATGGGGAAAATGGAGTCCTGGTGTAGTGCTGTGGGCTAATGTGCAAGACTGCAAAGTCAGTTTGAACCACAAGGTTGGTGGTTCAAGCTCACCAGCCTCTCCTTGAAAACCCTATACGTGGAACCAACCTAATAGCACTTAACAACAACAACGGGGGAAATATTGAATGGTACAGAAAACAGCAAAATCAGGTGAAAGGAACATACAGTCACTGTAACAAAAAGAAATGGTTGATGTACAACCATTCCAAGAGATAGCGTATAATCAAGAACTGATGGTACTGGAAGGCGAAGTCCGAGCTGCATTAAAGGTATTGGTGAAATGCAAGGCTCCAGGAATCGATGGAATACAAATTGAAGTCTCAACAAACTCATGCAGCCCTCGAAGCACTCACTCGTCTAGGTCAAGATATTTTGAAGACAGCTATCTGGCCAACTGATTGGAAGAGATCCACATTTGTGAGCATTCCAAAAATAGGTGATCTAGTGGAATATGGAAATTAACAAACAATACCATTAATGTCACATGCATGTAAAATTGTCTGAAGATAATTTTAAAATGTATACAACAGTACATACACAAAGAACTGCAAGAAATTTAAGGCAGATTTATAAGAGGATGTGGAACTAGAGATATCATTGCTGACATCAGTTGAATCTTGGGTAAAAGTAGAGAATACATGAAAGGGGTTTGCTTGTGTTTTATTGACTATAAAAAGGTTTTGAACTGTGTGGAACATTACAGGTTAGCGATAGCATTGCAAAGAATGGATATTCTAAAACATTTAGTTGTGCTCATGAGGAATTGGTACATACTCCAAGAGGCAGTTGCTAGAACAGAACAAGAGTATACCTAATAGTTTTAAATCAGGAAAGGCATGTGCCAGGGTTTTAGTCTTTCTGTAGTCTACATATTTATTTAATCTGTATGCTGCGCAAAGATTCAAGAAGATGGATTATATGAAGAAGAGAGTGAGTGGCATCACGATTAAAGGAAGATTCATTAATAACCTATAATGAGCAGATGATACAACCTTGCTTGTTGGAAGTAGAGAGGACTTAAATTACTTTCTGATGAACATCAGAAAGTATGGGTTGTACCTCAATATAAAGAAAACTAAAATCCTCACAACTGGACCAATAAATAACATAATGATAAATGGAGAAAAGATTGAAGTTGCCAAATATTTCATTTTGCTTGGATCCACAATCAACACTCATACAAGCAGCAGCCCAGAAATAAAATTATATATTGCATTAGGCAAATCTTTAAAGTGATCAAGTGCAAAGATATTAATTTGAAAAATAAGGTGTGCCTGAGCTAAGCCATGCTATTTTTACCTAGCCTCATATGCATGTGAAAGTTTGACAATGAATAAGGAAGACTATGGAACAATTGATGCATTTAAGCTGTGGT